TTAAAGAGCACCTTGACAGAGCACGAGTAACACTCAGTCTGGACTAATAATCAGGTCAGCCACAGCTGAAGTGTGTGTGTGCGTGTGTGTGTAATGTGTTGGACTGGCACCACAGCGGGCAGAAGGGTTCATATCTGTAGCATAGCAGCGAGACAGGGAGATGGTCAACTGCAGGAGGCCATTTTGTGTCTGCACACTGCGTTGAGAGTTATGTCACAGGTCACCAGTTGAGACCGCAGCCGTCCGACCAAGAAGCAATGTCGTCTTGACTTTATGATGAAAGGACATAGATGAAATAATTATACTTTGATTTACTAATACAATAATGTCATTCAATGTTTCTTTTAATTGAAACACATTATTTCTAATTTTCACTCCTTTTTTGAAAAATTGTGGACTATCATTACTTTATTAATCGATGTTTAGATATCATCTCCTAAGCTGTCATGTCTTACATCTCTCCCTAGAAGTACAAGAGCTGTAATTTATGTTGAACAAAATGTTTCAGTTTATTATTTAAAACAACTTTTAACTATGACATGACTAATGAAAATGGCCTAAATTTAGCCACATTTTTTCCCCAATCCTGCCAACATTTCATGGCCCAAACTGAGTTGTACTTAACACATCTGGATCTTCCATGCGCTGGCATATTCTTTCTAATAATGAAAAGACAGTGTTTGCCCTTTTTCGAAAATCTCCTTGGTGCATAATATTACTGTCTTCCAACGTAAGATATTAGTTTTTCTTCTTCAACGCACATGGGGGCTTTGCTGAGATGAAATGTAAAGTGCAGATATTGCAGAGGTCTGTTCAGAAAACGTATCTTGCTCGTGGCTGCCCCTCTGAGGCCGGCAGCGGTAACTCCAGGCAGCGTCGTGGTTGCATCAGCTCTTTGACGGACGGTCGAGCTAGTTGACATTATTAAGAGCTCCGAGCTTGTTCAAAAGGGAAAGAGGGATGTATGTGTATGTGTGTGTGTCAGCTGTATTGAGGGCCAGCAGCCCTGATTCCCCTTGGGGGGGTTGTGGGGGGGGGGGCATAGTTATGACAGGCATTCAGCTGGGCTACCGTGACCTCATTTTACAAGCAGGACCTGTAAAAAGGCCCGAGCTGAGCCAGGCCAGACCGACAGGTGTGGACAGACAGAGGAGAAGAGGGAGGAGGGGTGATGCCAGGATGGGGGGTGACTTCATGCCGGTGGACTGTGTAGACAGCCACAGGCATTCAAACAAACCCAAGGGATGAGATAATGGAGCTTCACATGCAGGGGAGGAGAAGTAACGTTCGCTATCACAGGTATGGCAGATAATAGTTTTTTCATCCTGCGGGGCTGTTGAGCATTTTGGATTAATGAATTCTGTAATTCGTCAGTTTTATTAGGTTAAGTGAATCCTCGACTTCAATTACGGCCAGTTTAGTTTCTAACAGCTCTCCTTTGATGTTGGCGAGGTTTCTCCCCTCTCATCTTACCCACACTTTCTCCAGTTATTATTTTATATACCGTCATAGTCTTCAATCCATTCCTTCCTCCCCTTCTGTTTCTCCTTCTCTCTATCTCCGTCTTGGACCCTTACAGTTCATCTCAGGAATCCTGCCTTCTCAGCTGTCCGCTGGTGTCCAATAGCAAACAGATTTAGCCCTCCTCCACCCTCCCTCCACTTTTCAGTCTCCCCCCCCCCCTTCCTCCTTCTACCTAATTTAGCCCCCGCCAACCCCCTCCAACGCGCTCCTTCGGCTCTATACCTCCTCCTTCACGCACCTTTTCGTCTGCTCCGCGGCTCGGCCTGGTGGCCTGTGTGTGCCGGATTAGGAGCCTGTCTAAATTTGGTCATGCATGGCAATGGAGACGAGCACCTGCTGGGACCCTGGTGCTCTTCTCCTCTCCAGACCCTTACATCAAATTACACCAGGGCCTGGGCATTCCTGTCACTCCTCTCACTTCTCCACTTCACTGCCTCTCCCGTTCTCTTTCTACAAGTGGCCTTTTTCAATTCACTTTGAATCAATAATGCTTTACAGGCAGGACAATGTATTTTTCTGTCCAAATGTTGTTTTGGAAAGAAAATGCCACTGTCACTTTTAGCCACTGCCAGTAGTAAAATGAAGCATTCAGATCCTGCTAAAGTAAAAGTACCAAGACTACAATATAAAAAGTTGTTGAAAGAAAAACATACTTGAATTAAATACATCATTGGATTATGATGATTATGATGTCACTAATATGAAAGAATTGTTACAATAAGGGCTGGTGTTAGTGGACTTACTTGTTTATATACAGAGTTTAATCTATAATTAGACATCTTATTCCATAAGATCATATGGTCATATGTTTATGCTCAAATAAAATACTTATCAGCAAAGTAACTACAGTTGTCAAATAAATGGAGGGATTTAAAAACATCTCCCTCTAAAATGTAGCCTAGTAACATACAATTTAAATACCCAGTACTTATTGTTCTCCACTGCTCTGCAAATGGAAGGGAAATACGGAAAGTCAAGATTACACAATGAAAAGAGCAACTCTGCTGAAAGAAATGCAAATTACATTTAATAATCATTTTATAATTGTCATAAATCATTTATAGTTTGGTCTATAAAATGTGAAAGCGGTGAAAATGACCATGACAACTTTCTAAAGCTCAAGGTAACATCTTTAACTAGCTTGTTTTGTCCAGCATCCCAAAGATATTAAATTTACTCTCACATAAGAGAGAGAAAAGCAGAAAATCAGGTCAAGGTAGTATTTTGGGTCTATTCATTTTCTGTCAATCAACTAATCAAATAATCATCTCAGCTCTAGGTTATGTATAGTGTCTCCCTACACTGTGTTCTCTACTTTTTATCTTTTCTCTCATTAGTCACTAGTGTGGTTTCTCTCGTCTTTGTCTGTCAAAAACACCACTTTCTTTTTCTGCCCGCTCTCTGTCACCATTTATTCTGTCTGTCTCTGCTGCTTTGCTTCCCTGTCCACCCTTGTACATCTACAGTCATGCTCGAGCGCAAGCGATAGACACGGAAGCATAAACCCCCACCCACATACTGTACGAGGACATGTACATTTTGATTTCTAGGTTGTTTAATGTACTCTGCTGAAATGGAAAATGTGTGCTCTTACCTACTGAGCACAAACCCTGTTGTATTGCTAATTTCTACATCTCTCTCTCTCTGTGTCTGTGCTCAGGCTCTCTCCTCACTCCGCCCACACTATCATCTGTAGTTAGTTATTCAGCTCATGTACTTATTCTGCTTCTACACCCACACACCCTCCAAACCCTGGCAAAGTTTTGGCTCTACAGTAGCAGCTCGAACACACACACACACACACACACACACACACTCTCGTACTCCTTGAATCTGGAAACACACATCCGACATTCACGTTTGACGCTAAACACCAGGAAAGCCTCTCAAAATACCATTCAGCGATTGATTGAATGGCCTGATGGAGCCAATTGAATTGTCCCTGACGTGCGCGGCTGACGCCATTAGGCAGTTTTCCAGACAGACCAAAAGCAAGCACTCAGCGGCTGAGAGCCATTTACATCACCGTCTGTATGCGGCCCATTACGCACAGCGACATCACCTAATGAACAGTTTGCTTTCCAAAACGAGACACCTACTCTTGCAAAGTGCTCGACACAACACAGAATTAAGACCAAATATAGGACTTTATAGCAGGTGACTTCCTGGCTTAGAGTCGTAACACTAATAGACTGATAACGCTGTGCTAGAATGACCAACTCCAGCATTGATGCATCGAGCTCGGGGAGGGTGTACAATCCAGTGGTTGAACATTAAGGGCTTTCGGGGTTGTTTGGATGGTGCAGAGCGGCATGACGTAAAAACAGGGGGCTCCAAATGTGTTGTCTGTCTGTTGAACAGTTAATCAGTACAATGGCAGAAGGATAAATGATAAAAAAGGTAGTTTGGAAAGGATGAATGAGCCCCAGTTATCTCACGTCTCCTGCTTAATGGACAAAATCCTGACTTATATAGTGTATAGGGGTGTGTGAGCTATTCTTTTGCAACTATAAGTGATTTAATGAAGGTAAACAGTGGACAGCGGTGCGTAATGGCACTGCATTCTGATGCGGCAGCTCTCAAATCAGAGGCTACAGATTTATCTACATGTCTGTCCTACTGCCTCCATATTGCTGCAGGGATTTACTGACGTGAAGGGAGAAGCTTTAATGGATAAAGCAGCTGTGGACCACAGATACTCTAAGAATCACTCATAGTAGTTTATGAGATCAATGCTGGCAGCTTTACTCATTAAGTTGTTTACTGACGACGTTGCACAAGTGGTTTTGAGACATCTCTTCTCAGAGCAATGTGGAAAGACCCAGTTTCCACCAAAACGACTCTGTTTGTGGTGCGCAGGCTTCATTTGAATGAACTTTCCACCTCTTTGCAGCTCTCTTCTGCCTGAGCCATATTTGTCATTTTGGCCAAAACAATCAATAGACCGTCAAGTTGTTTTATTTATTGCAGTAGATGAGCAGATCATACCAAATTTCCACAAAGTTTTCCACACACACACACTTATGTAATATTTATGTAATATTCTTGATACGTGATTCATTTATTTTGTTTGTCTGTTTTACTTTGTTATCAAAAGTCAACTGTATTTCTGTATTTATCGAGTGAATCCCACAGGTATAGAATGATTTTTGAACAAAATAATATTTGCAGAAGTCAATTTCAACTTGTTTCAGAACAGTTGAGTCAACGGTGGCCGTCAAGCTGACATAAATGTCTCCGTGTGTCTGCGCGCTCTCTGCCGTAATAACAAGGTCACAAATTGAAGTGGACAGTTCAGGCCTCGGTAAGCAGTTTCTGACCCTGCACTCTAACGGGAAACATCGAGGTGTGTGTGTGTGTGTAACTGGTAAAGTCACGGTGCTTGCTGTCAGTGTCTGGGTGTGTATTTGTCATATAGTCATATAGGTGACAGTCTAACCTTCTCCATCCTCTCTCTCTCTCTCTCTCTCTCTTAGACCTTCACAGCTTGGTGTAACTCCCACTTGAGGAAGGCTGGGACACAGATTGAGAACATTGAAGAGGATTTCAGAAATGGCCTCAAACTCATGCTGCTGCTGGAGGTCATATCAGGTGGATCTCATCAACACAGACACACAGACATGCACATGTGTTGTTTAGTTACTGGGTCATTCTGCATTTATCCATGATAGAATGCTGTTTGGAAACTCCTGTTGCTGCTTTTTGTCATTGAGAAGTCACATTTTCATCTGTTGATACTCTTAAACGATTATTTTAGATTTAATAAACTTACAGAATACAGAAGAACAAACGTAAATTGAGATAATTTGTCATAGTTTTATTCATCTATCTTTTATCCCTGACCTTTTTGCTTGGAGATGAACTTAAACAATTGGCAAATACATTTTCTGTCAATCATTAAATGAATAATTGTTCGAGCTGTAGTTAAATGTTATTCTTGTCTTTCAGGTGAGAGGCTGCCCAAACCCGACAAAGGCAAGATGCGTTTCCACAAGATCGCCAACGTGAATAAAGCCCTGGACTTCATCTGCAGCAAGGGGGTCAAACTTGTGTCTATTGGTGCTGAGGGTGAGATACCTGCTTTGACTAACAACTTCCCTCCTATTATTTTCCTCCCTCTGCCACCTTTATTTGTCTCTTTTAATTAATAGACCAAGGTCCCATAGTATTTGCATTTCTTGGACCTATTTCTGAGCACCAGATGGCTGGTGAAGCTCGCAGCGTCGGGAGAATTCAGATGAGTTGGCAGTGACAGGAAAGTAAACTACAGATCACCCAACTGGCAACAAATACGAGGAATTAGCTGCAATTCACAAGTGTTTAAACATTTAATTTACTCTTGAGTGAGCATATATATTTGAAGCCGTATGAAAGCACCCTTTGTGTTGATACATAAATCCAATTCTAGAAAAGCTGTAGTGGTATTTTTGAATTGGATATACTAAAGACAGAAGAGAGACACTGTAGCGTGACAACTGAAGAGGTAAAAACAAAATGGTTACAGGGAGAAACTACAATAACAGGAATTGAACTGGAGTATTGTTTAAACAGTGAAAATGACATTTAAATAATATTTTAATTCTCCGATTTGATCTGTTAGTCCTCTAATCTGCTTGACTCTCTGTGGTTAAACTGACTAAATGCTCAGTGGGGTAAAAAGTGTTCAGACTGAGAGTTCACAAATACATGCTGAGAGGTTCCCTCGTGCAGCATTCACATCCCAGCACTTCAAAAGCAGTCAGTGAATTTCTGTGTGACTTTAATTTTCCTCACTCTGATTGCAGTCAAGATTCTTTCTGAGCCTTCGGGCTGTGTGAAATTCAATTTGTCTCAACAGCAATAACTTCAAAAGGCGCACAATTAAACTTCTTTCAGTAGCAGACACAGAACTTGTAACCCTGCAGAGAGCCATGATTGAGAGGCCTGCTTTTAGTGTTTTAGAATTTGCTATGATGTGTTTATATGATTGTGTTTTTTTTTTTACAGAAATTGTTGACGGTAACGGGAAGATGACCCTTGGTATGATCTGGACCATCATCCTGCGCTTCGCCATCCAGGACATCTCTGTGGAAGGTGTGTGTGTGTGTGTGTGTGCATAAACCCTATTTTCAGCTGCTCCCATTTGGGGTCGCCACAGCAGATGATCTGTTTCTATCTCTTCCTGTCCTCTGCATCTTCCTCTGTCGTGCCAACCACCTGCATGTCCTCCCATCACATCCATAAACCTCCTCTTTCCCTATTGCTTTCTCCATCTTCAGTGTCCTTCTCCCGATACACGGAGCATCTCTCCTCTGCCAAAACACCATCTCAATCTCGCCTCTCTCGCTTTGTTTCCAAACCGTCTAACCTGAGTTGTTCCTCTAATATACTGATTCCTAATTCTGTCCATCCTTGTCACTCCCAGCGGAAATCTTAACATTGAAACATTAAAATAACTTAAAGTACCATGTTTGCTATTATTAGATGGATTTCTTTTCTTTTCTTGTTTTTTAGGGCCAGACTAGCCGTTTACCCCTGATTCCAGTCTTTTCTAAGCTAACTGGCAACTGGTTGTAGCTTCATATTTAATAGACAGATATGAGAGTGATCTCAGTCTTTTTATCTAACTCCTGGAAAGAAAGCGAATAAGCATATTTCCCAAAATGTTGAATTTTTAGATTTTAGATGTTAGAATTGTTCTCATACTAGTTTTAACCAACTCTCACGCTTTCAGTTATTACAAAAGGCCTATTTTGACAAACACTATTGTAGCTGACTGACTATAATCACCATCTCTGTCATATGAGCACAACATACAGACCCAGTTTTACATTTTGTCTTTGTTGTGTCCATCACAATCTTACACACTCAGGTGTGGAACAAAATCAGTTTTAGACTTGTTTGTTCAAAACCCTCGCTGAATACTTCGTCTTTCTAGAAGTTGCATCAAAGTTTCAAATTTCACACTTTAGGTGCCAAAAGTGCAAATGTGACACATTCAAATTATACACACGTTGCTTATTTCACATGAGTCTTAGGTCAGCAAAGCTCTGCATCCTTTCAGATTTTACTGATGTGTATTTACTGCACTGTGGGATTTGTTGCATGCTTGAATGCAGTAAATCATATTCTATGATTCAGTCCATCTAACAAGTTATCCCTGAACTTTATCCGCCCCTCATGTCATTCCATTAAACGTCCCTGTTGTCAGGCAGGTCAACTCACAATAAATTCTTGTTTATAAAGTCTCAGACCTTGTTTCACGCTGTCCTTCCTCACACCTCTTACCCTCACCTTCAAGTGATCTTCTTTAACTCTCCTTTTATTGCTCCTGCCCTTCAATATCTTCTGCTGTCATATAGCTTGACTTCCTTTGCCATCCACCTCCTCCTAATCTCTCATAACGCTTCCTCTCTCCACTAGTGCAAGAAATGATATCTTTGAACCTCTGGCTGCACTAGTGTGACTTTAAAAGTAAAGCTTGTTTACTGTAAACTGACAAATATATCAGCTACAGAACAAATAATGAACTCTTTTGTTTACCTTTTTTGGGGGTTTCTTTTATATGATGTATCCACTTTTCACCATTCAGTCCACCTCTCAGGATCCATTTTTCTGAAAAGATCCTGTATTGTTGTAATAATAATGCATTAATAAAATAATTTCTTTCATCTGTGCTACAATGCCCACTGTCTCCCTCCCTGTGTTTTTCCAGAGACCTCTGCTAAGGAGGGTCTGCTGCTGTGGTGCCAGAGGAAGACTGCCCCCTACAGGAACGTCAATGTGCAGAACTTCCACATCAGGTGGGTCTACAATGCCGAACTGTGGCATTAACAGGGAACTGCAACCATCTTCTCATCTGTTTTTCTTAAATGTAATGTTTTACCATGTTTTTCCCCCTCTCTTTCCCAAATCTTTTGGTGTCTTTGTGTTCCCATGTAACATCCTCCTCTCGCTTTCCTTACACCCTTCCTCATCCTGCTTTGTTACCTTACCTTTTTGCTTTTTCTTGCCCTCTTCTTCCCTCCTCATCCACATTTGTCTCCTGAATCTTCACACCTTCCTCTGTATTTCTCCTCTTCTTATGGCTCAGTTGGAAGGATGGCCTGGCTCTGTGCGCCCTCATCCACAGACACAGACCTGACCTCATTGACTACTCCAAACTGAGAAAGGTGCCCTGTCCTTCCTTCCTGTTTTCCTTTCATCCTCTTCTGCTGTGCTTTATTTTCTCTTTGATGATGATTGATACTCAGCATCACAATCAGTCTTCTTGAATCTGTTCATAGAGCTTTTATTTTAGTACTCAGTTTCTTTACATTTGTGACATTATGTGGAAATACTTTATTTTGTAGATGTAATACTGAAAGATTTGCTATCCTGCATGTCCAAATTCACAGCCTTGTGCATGGCCAGTGACTCATATTTGCAGTACTATTTAGTAATATACCAGTGTGGGATTTTAAAAGCAGATGTCAGTACCAGTTCATTTGAAGTATAGCTCTTATTTTGTACTGAATATTTCAATTTGACCGTTTACAAAAATAGAAAAAAGTATTTAATGTTTAAATACACAGCTTCAGGTGTTCCTTTTCACTGTGGTCAAATGGCAAAGAGGAAAGCGTATACATCCCCCCTCCAAAAACCTCTTGACCGTTGCTTGATCAAAAACAAAGATGAGATTGTGTTTGCTTGCCAAAGCTAATATATAAAAGCCTTTATAAAACTAATTCAATACAGTGTATGAATCCCATTCCTGTTTCCTTCCTCTCAGAGTGGATCATGACACTGGATGTTATTATTTCTCTTTTTCTCTTTGTGGTTTCATAACAAACCCAGTGCGGTCATACATGTGCGTGTCTTACAGTCAATGTGTCTCCCTGCAGGATGACCCTATTGGTAACCTGAACACTGCCTTCGAGGTGGCTGAGAAGTTCCTGGACATCCCCAAGATGCTTGACGCTGAAGGTGAGTGTGTGAAACAATGAGAATAATAAACCATTGCAGGAACTTATGTTTGTGGTGTTAGTGCTGAAACACACACTGATAACCTCCATGACATGATGGCAGATGGACAAGAGGTCCTTCTTACATGTAATTCAACCATTTGCATTACAGAATTAATGCATTTTAAATCACATTAAAAGCATCTTTTGAATTACTGATGGTTGTGACCTCGAGAAAAGTTTTTTTATAGGCAAAATGGCTAAAATTACTCATAAATACAACAATAAATCATATTTTTTTACTAAATATTATATAATACTTTTAAAAATTCACCCTAACAAAGCTGCTTTACAAAATAAAGTGACACACATCCATAAGCATGCTTTTTCCTCATGAGGGATGGTTGTTCAAAAGCCGTTATTTAGCATTATTTCTGATCATATTTTCCACCCTCAGATATTGTGAACACACCCAAACCTGATGAGAAGGCCATCATGACCTACGTGTCTTGCTTCTACCACGCCTTTGCTGGCGCTGAGCAGGTCAGATAATGTTTATTGTTATGTTATAGTATTTTAAATTTATTCCATAGTTTAATTAAAATTTTTAGTCAAAGGCTGCTTTGTGTATAACAGTGTATGTTGATGTGCTATCCCTTTTTAATTGATTACAGCAGATGATACATACACAACACTGTCAACATAATATAGCAGCAGTCCCGATGAATAAATGTGAGAGATACGATATGTTGTAAATGTATATTAATTGTTACTCTCTCTCAGGCTGAGACAGCTGCCAACCGTATCTGCAAGGTGCTGGCCGTCAACCAGGAGAATGAGAAACTGATGGAGGAGTACGAGAAGCTGGCCAGCGAGGTGAGAAACCACTGCAACCAAATACTCCCACAATCCTTCTGTCTTACACATCCTCCTCTGCAGCAACACTTTAATGTTCCAGCAGTTAAAACTCGCAGCTTTTCTCGAAACTTTCTGATCCTCCGACTGACTTTACACGACACTCATCAATCAAAATCAATGCAGGAAAATCAATAGTAGGATAAGTGAAAGCCGACGACAATACATTTACAGTATTCGTGCACAGATTATCTATATTAACTAAATATCAACTATTAAAATTAAATATAAATAGATCTTAGAACAATTTAACATAATCTTTCTATTGATTGTGATACTGCAAAAAAGGCACAAGGCAATTCAAGGTGGCGTGTCCTAAAGGTGTAGCAGCTATGTTCATTATTGAAATATCTATTGAGTAGATTGAGTAGTATTTTAATGAATTGAGTTTCACAGCCAGAGTACTTTGTCTTTAAGCTTGGAAGTGTTTGATTTGTAGTTAAAAAGATATTAGAAAAAAGCAAAAACTCTTTGTATTTGCGAGGCTGTTTGTTGGAGCTGCCAATAACCAAAACAACATCCTTGTATAATTCCTTTTAATCGCTTTCTTTATAGAGAAATTGTGAAAAAACATGAAAAATTCCAACGAGAAATGTGGGAATATCTCAAATCTAAGGTCACCCACAGCGTGGCCTTTTATAGTGCTTATACAGAGGATATGAGCCACATGAGACATGAATGAACCCAAATCCAGTCATTTTATACTAGAAGATGTACACACCTATCAGTATTAAGGCAAACTGATATAGTTATCAGACAGTAAAACCCATAAATAATACAGACAAGAATTAATCTTCACATTGACCTTGTTTCTGTAGCTGCTGGAGTGGATCCGCCGCACCATCCCCTGGCTGGAGAACCGCGTGGCAGAGCAGACCATGCGCGCCATGCAGCAGAAGCTGGAGGATTTCCGTGACTACCGCCGCATCCACAAGCCACCCCGCGTGCAGGAAAAATGCCAGCTGGAGATCAACTTCAACACCCTGCAGACCAAGCTGAGGCTCAGCAACAGGCCCGCCTTCATGCCCTCCGAGGGCAAGATGGTGTCGGTAAGCAGGACGGATTTTTAACTTTGTATATTATTGTTTCTGCACAGCGTCTTTGTAGATTTTCAGGCTTTGACATCAGTTGAAGGATTACTTCCCCCTATGTTGTTTTATATCCCCTAAAGCTGGTAAAATCCTTTCAAAACCCTTACTTTGTGATGTAACAAAAATAATAATGTTCCCTTTACTACAGATACAAAGTCTTTATTGAACAACAGCAATTTATTCTGGAAAAAAAAGTGGAAAGGATGAAAAAAAAGTAGCTGAAAGAAACTTGAAGAGCACAGAACATTTTTCAGACTTCAGAAGTGGGTTAGAAATGCAAATAGAAACTTCACTTCATTTGATAATAATGGAGAAGTCATTTCTAATTTCTCAGAAATTTACATAGATATTAAAATGTTCTCAAGGCATACATTATATTATTCACATTCTGAACACTCATTTCCCTCAAACGAGTGTCAATAAAACGGGTCAAAACTCTTGTTCCCTTTTCTCCTCCAGGATATTGCCAACGCCTGGAAGGGTCTGGAGCAGGTGGAGAAGGGCTACGAGGAGTGGCTGCTGACCGAGATCCGCCGCCTGGAGAGACTCGATCATCTGGCTGAGAAGTTCAAGCAGAAGTGCAGTATGCATGAGGCCTGGACTGGAGGTAGGGAGGTGTGATAAACATAATTTCCTGCACACCAGGATCATTCTGCTTGGGGTTTGAATTTTTGCCTCTTCTGAAGGTGCTGTAGTTTGTAAGAAAAAAGGGCTAGCAATATTTTTTGCAGGTGAAAAAAAAAATCTAAATTAAATAAGTACATTTATAAGGATGTTATGGTGGCTCAGTTGGTTAAGGTGCATTTATGTTTTGGCAATATTGTCAGTTAAAATCTGATTGTCTCTATGAGTCTGGAAATATTTCCATGTCAATGTTTAACTGCTCCATGCTCAGTGTGTGCACTGAAGGATTCAAGTTTCCATATCACACTTGTTTTGGTTGCATATTGAACCCTGATTAGCCTCCAAACTAGTTGTAATTCAGTCAAATTAAAGGTGATCACGGTGAAACTTTCCTCCTTGAGCAGATAAATGTAAAAAACAACCTTTTAGTCTGAAACTCTGGCGCATACATAATTCTGCACAATGAAGCATTTTACACTATTTAATGAAATGACATAGAATAAACATTAGAAACTGGTAAGATCTTGATAAATCAAATAAAATAAGTGAGGAAACTATCTGGAGTAATTTATGGGCAACAACGCCATAGTGAGTGAGAAAAGGTCTAACTGCAGTGGGGGAAGACAAAAGATCAAAGGGATGGACTGCACTGAGAGCTGAATAAATGAAGATCAGGTAGTAAAATGTTTGTGTGTGTGTTTCAGGTAAGGAGGACCTGCTGTCCCAGAAGGACTACGAGTCGGCCTCTCTGATGGAGATCAGAGCCCTGATGAGGAAGCACGAGGCGTTCGAGAGCGACCTTGCCGCTCACCAGGACAGAGTGGAGCAGATCGCTGCTATCGCCCAGGAGCTGAAGTAAGATGGAAATTCGAGGAATGAGGATTAAGATATTGAGGGACTTATTTGAAAACTATAGGAGGGACAGGAGAGCAGAAAGTGAGCGACTGAGTTTTATGACTCCTAATGGTCGTGTTGAGAGCAGACAGGGATGTGAATACAGTGAAGAACAAAAAGATGCAACATATGAGTGGAAAGCATATTAATGAGAGCGATAAAAAGATGAAAGGATGGTTCATGAAAGAGCAGAAACCTCTGATCTCACTATTTCCTTATTCCTCGCCACTCCTCAGGGCTTTCTTTCACAGATATTTTTGAGATGATTCCTTTGATGATACAGTATAATATGTATGCGTGCCACCCATGATTTATTATTCATTACTTCAAACGTAGATATTAAATACTTAAAAGCAGAATGTTCTTAAATGATGCCCTGAAATGCAGAATAGAATAAAAATCCAATGTGTGTGTGATCAAGATATCTGGGGAAAAATATGATTGTAACTTGGGAGAATAGTTTCTTTTTATTTTTATTTATTAAATGGAACATTTTGGAAATGAACTCAACAGATGAGTCACCTATCTGACATTAAATTATAGATGTTGCTGTGATTCACTCTGTTGTCTCCTAGTGAGCTGGACTACCACGATGCTGCCACAGTCAACGCCCGCTGCCAGGGCATCTGTGACCAGTGGGACAACCTGGGCACCCTCACTCAGAAGAGGAGGGACTCACTGGAGGTGAAACGCTTTATTTTCATGTACCAATTTTGAAATGAAGTCAGGTGACAGAAGAAACAAGCCAGTGCTTCTGTCCCATCTTTTGTTTTTGGAATATGAATCTTAACTCTTTGTGTGTCTTCAGCGTGTGGAGAAACTGTGGGAGACTATTGACCAGCTGTACCTGGAGTTTGCCAAGAGGGCGGCGCCCTTCAACAACTGGATGGACGGAGCCATGGAGGACCTGCAGGACATGTTCATTGTCCACAGCATTGAGGAGATCCAGGTACAGCCAGCGCCATGCATGCATGCAAGCAGACACAGCCACTGTACATTTAATGTTGTTTCAGTTTGTGTTTGACTTTTATTTTGTAATCAGGCCTGTATCGAATAGTAATTACTATGTGTCCTGTAAATCATCTTATTGGCCTACAGGACATAAAAATATGTTTTAGAAAATATAAATAAATCACTGGGTACATTCATAACAATAAGACTGCAGTTATTTACCTTCAGTTGAAGATGTGTTTACTCACCCTTGTTTATGTTAGATTTGGTTTTAGCTCTAAAAGCTCCACATGTAGTCTTTCTATTAATGTACACTTGTATGCATCATAAAATCCATAAAACAATCCCACTATTCTGTGATAGTTTACTAACATAAATCTCAGTTGTGTCCTGAAAAGCCAAGTGTGTGCACTGGCAGGAATCTGTAAGAGTCAGTTTATAGGAATAAATACAGTATCAGTATTTTCCCCAGGCAGATCCTGTACTTTATTTACTGTGCTGGACTCCCATGGGATGGGGTTGGGAATCTTTGGTATGGGACATGTGCGAGCTTGCTTTAGACTTGGGGAAGTCATTCAGCTGAACTGTTTTGGCAGACTTGTCTGTCCATTCAAAAGTAAAAAAAACAGTAAAGTAGAGAAAGTGTGACACTTATGGAAGCTCTTGTTAGATTATTTAAGTAAAAACTTAATGTGAGACGCTGCAACTTCCATGTTGACTGTCTGTGTTCTTAATTTCCTCCTTTAGAGTCTGATCACCGCTCACGACCAGTTCAAGGCCACTCTGCCCGAGGCCGACAAGGAGCGCATGGCCACCATGGGCATCCACAACGAGATCCTGAAGATCGCCCAGACCTACGGCATCAAGCTGTCCGGAATCAACCCTTACACCAACCTTTCCCCCCAGGACATCAGCAATAAGTGGGACGCTGTGAGTCAAATAATTAGAATGCATAGTGCAGGAGCGTGGGAAATAACTGATGTATCATTTATATTGTATTATAAATCATTTATCCAAACTAAGCTGGATCGCCTGAATCTGCTTTTATTTCTAGTTTGTGCAAGCTGACGCTGTGTAAACAGGAACTGTCAACCTAACCTCCTCTCTGTGCGCTGCTTTTGGTCATCTGGCTAATAATAAGAACTGTACATACATAGTGACAGGTCAGAAATAGTACAGTACATTTAGGTTAGAGCGACACTAAATACTGCTGGCTGCAAGCTCTCGGGGCAATTCAAAATAACTGCAGAACACAATCTCTCAGATGTGTGTCACCCTGCAAGACTGCGCTATCTGTGCTGGAAAAATAGATTTATTCCTGTGGGACAAATGAAATAACTAAAGCTGGACTCAACCAACTATATATAATTCGCAAACATCACTAAATTTCTATGGCTTCTGTTAGACTAAATTCACTGTAATGTTTGGACAGTTTGCAGCCTTGAATGTCGATTATGACTATAATAACTAGAGTTGTAAATAGGATTGAATGTAAAGATGCAGCAGGAAGGCAAGCAGTTCACTGGCTGCATGTTTTTTTTTTTTTGCATGAAAGAGCTGCAACATAAAGTCTCATTCCTTTTGCTGTGTGTTAAGAAGCTCTGGTGACTGTGTGTTTACCTGCAGGTGAAGCACCTTGTTCCCCTCAGAGACCAAATGCTCCAGGAGGAGGTGGCCAGACAGCAGGCCAACGAGAGGCTGAGGCGCCAGTTCGCTGCCCAGGCCAACATCATCGGACCCTGGATTCAAACCAAGATGGAGGTACAGTGTTGCTGTAGCACTACAACAGACTGACAGAGGCAGAAAAGGAAACTGCAGTTTAACCTTTGTACGGTGTAAAGTTACCAAAAGACAATTAAGGCATTTATTTAAAATGTTTTTATTTGGGACACTGGATGAAGAATATTGACAACTTTTGACATAAGTATGTGATGATGACACTTTGATAATGTTGACCACAGAATAGATAAAAAGGCAATAAAACAGTATAGAACAATGCATTACATTAAAATACAGTCTTGGGATGAGATTTTATGGTTAGTCATGATTGGGTTTTAGCTCCTGCTGATAGATATCAGTCACGGCTGCTCATTTAAGGATGAATTAACAGATGAGAAACTAATGAGCAGTAAATAAAAACACATTTATCTATGTACACAAACACCTATTATTATACAAGAGCAAATAAAAACAAATATTCACAGAACTGGTCAACTATTTCTCATTCCCCTCCCTGTTTACTGGCTGTTTACTGCCTGTGTACGCCTGCAGGAGATCAGCCACGTGTCTGTGGACATTGCCGGCTCCCTGGAGGAACAGATGAACAGCCTGAAGCAGTACGAGCAGAACATCATCAACTACAAATCCAACATTGACAAGCTGGAGGGAGACCACCAGCTCAGCCAGGAGTCCCTCATCTTCGACAACAAGCACACCAACTACACCATGGAGGTACAGTGGACTTTACTGCAGCCATGACGACGGGCTGACCCTCCCACCTCTTGTTTCTTTTTTTTTAAAAGTGTTTCCCCTCCACCTCTGCAGCATGTTCGCGTGGGCTGGGAGCAGCTGCTCACCACCATCGCCAGAACCATCAATGAGGTGGAGAACCAGATCTTGACCCGCGATGCCAAGGGCATCAGCCAGGAGCAGCTCAACGAGTTCAGGGCCTCCTTCAACCACTTCGACAGGGTGAGGCTGGATCTGGATGTACATTGGAATGATTCAGTAATGTTTAAAATGTGGTTGATTTTTAGCTGATGTCTCAAAACCTAAACATGCATAAAAGAACACCACAAACTACAGGACAGAGCTCATATTTTTATTCTTTAGGCATCAAAATCAATCTGACAGATAAATGTCATCACAAGACTTAAGTTAATGCTAGATATTCCAGCAACAGTAAGACGTGAAAACATGGGCTTTATTACTATAACATAAGAGCTCCTAAAGTGTTTGTTCCAATAACTAAAACACAATTGTGTTTTTCCTTTGCAGAAGAGAAACGGCATGATGGACCCAGACGACTTCCGTGCCTGCCTTATCTCCATGGGTTAGGATTTGGGTAGTGCAACATGGACTCAGCTTGTTAAAAAAGTTTAATTTTGTTGAATAAATTGGAAAACCTGAATGTCCACTGATGTGAAAGCAGCAGGAGATCAGAGCTTTTTAGTCAAGTCACTTAAAATGTATGCACTAACAAAATCCTTCTCTGTCTGACAGGGCGAGGTGGAGTTTGCTCGCATCATGACCCTGGTGGACCCCAACAACACAGGCGTGGTGACCTTCCAGGCCTTCATTGACTTCATGACCCGCGAGACTGCCGAGACCGACACTGCAGAACAGGTCATGGCCTCCTTCAAGATTCTGGCTTCAGACAAGGTAAGCAGACAAACACAGCATCCTGTTAACTTTACTCCAGAAAATATCTAACCCCACATTTACCACTGACACAAACAGGAGTCCTGACAACTTCTGTCTTACTTTTGTATTTTTAGTCATTTATATATTTACATTTTACACATCCAAGCAATTGCTAAGATCTGGGAACAAGTCAGTCTTCATTTCTTAGCCATGTATATGTGTGAATGGGTTTCTAATAATCTTTTACACGTAGAAGGATATGAAACAGGTAAAGTAACAGTGACAGAGAGGCTGAAGAAAGCCTGTCAGGAATTAAAGAATCTCTGCGTAAATAAAATGCAGTTAAAATATTCATATGTATTTAGTAAAACTCTTGTAGGAATTATCAGTTTTTCCAGTGATGTGATCCTCTGAAGTTAGTTTAGCAGGTTAGCTGCGCACTAGGTTACCAGTTAAAAGTAAGCCAACTTCATGATCCTAGAAAACTGAGCACAAAGATAGCTGGCTAACCCACTAATGTCACTTTGTGGTGATGGCCCCTTGGTTCTCGAGTGCAGGTAAACGTTGTCATTGATCCCAGATCTCGGCAATTAACTGGATGAGTAAAATGTTCGTACCAACAGGAATAATGGCCAAAACGATATTAAGCAGCAAATTCCCCATCTTAATTCAGCTTGAGAATGAAAGACTGTTTGCAGTTAAATTTCCCAGCCTACATCCTGGGACAATCACTTCCTGCCTCTCTCTCTCTCTCTCTCTCCTCCCAGAATTACATCACAGTGGATGAGCTGCGCAGGGAGCTGCCACCAGAGCAGGCCGAGTACTGCATCAGCCGCATGACCAGGTACATTGGAACCGACTGCCCCACCGGCGCCCTGGACTACATCTCCTTCTCCAGCGCCCTCTACGGAGAGAGCGACTTATAAACCGCTTCTCTTCCTCTCCTCCTCCCAGCTCCCCCTATTTCTCCTCTGTGGAGAGAGCGATTTAAACCCCTTCCACTGTCCTTCTATATCCTTTCTTCTTATCATCCTCTTTCAAATCTTAACTTTCTCCCCCTTCTCCCCACCTCCTCCCCCTCCCAAAAACACTACCCAGAGAGGGTGAGAGTAGAAGACTTTGCTCAAATCTTAGAAGCTATGTTTGGACTGGTCCGCTCGTCCCTCATGTCTGTCAGAGTGCCTTTAAAAACCAGGAGTGTGCCAGGTATTGCACTGAAGTTATGTACGCAGCATACATATAACATACCTGCCTTTAGGAGACGTTTAACAGAAGAGGTAATGAGGGAGAGGAAAAAAAAAAAGGTTTTTTGAGCAAAGCCTCCTGCTCTGCCCCCCTCTCTCTCTCTCTCTCTCTCAGATGACATATTTTTTGTAGAAGGGTAATTAAAGAAGACAATGTGATTAAAAAAAAAAAAGAAGCTGGTTGGTCAGTTGGCTTGGTTGGTTGTGTATTTGTGCAGATGCATGCTATGTTGAAGTTTAGAAACGCTGTCTTTGTGAGTCTCTGACTCTCATTATACAAAAACAAACAGTATCATTAGGAGCCTGTTAACATTTCAGTGAGCAGAGGAGCAAAGCAAGTCAGGTGCTACGATGTTACAAAGCCAGTTGTCACTCTTAGAAAATAAATACCACAGTACTGTGAACCCTGAATGTTAGCAAAGATTAAATGTAACCTGAAGAATCTTAAAAGCCTTAAGCTCAGGAAGAAACGGAGGGTGAACGGGAGCACTGGAGATGAAGCAGGCAGAGAGAGCAACTCAGAGCAAAGCACTGTGGGTAAATAAGAGACAAAGAGGGCCATGGCTGGACTTAAGAACGAAGACAGAAAGACAAACTGTTATGGCCAGGGAGAACGATCCCACACACCTCTCCTAAATTTAACATCACATCTAAACACATGAACGTGATTTTGTATTTTTTTTACGTCATGGAGGAGGGACTCAGACAGAGAGAGGTGTCGAGCAGCGAGAGACAACAGGGCATCAGGAAAGTTGTGGACAATAAGAAGAATGGATACTGTACATGGGACCATAGCAGGCCTATGTCAGTGAGGAAGCAAATAGGGTTTTGGTCCCATTGACAGGTCGGCCAGGATAATCAGTGCGAGTCGACTCCTTCCTGTGCATGATGGTGATATTTTAAATTTCATTTGTGCTCCGTTCTCCTCCATTCATTCTGTCCATCATCACCGATGCCACAAAAACTCACTTTCACACAGTTAAATTTTAAAAACTACAACTTGGAATAAAAAAGGAAAATTATATTACTAAACAGCCGTTGTTTGTGTTTCTTTATCACATTAGTACTAGTGAAAAAGGGACCTTTATTCTCTCTAGTATACAGGTAGGAATAACTGTGCTATGCGTTATTGGGCGTGACAAAACACCCCGATTCTAACATTTAACACAAAAATACGAAGATATTTGGTTGACTGCTGATCAACAAATTCAGGATGTTTCAGAGTGTGACGTCTCATCTCTGGTTTAATCTGAGCTGTACGGACTACAAACTGGCCCAACCTTTAGCCTCCGGGCCGAGGTCACATGTCGTTGTCGGGGTCCCAGCAGAGGTGGGTCGGGAAGCTCATGCCTCTCTCCTGGGCGTAGCGTATCCAGCGCTCACTGTCCCCTTGGTGCGTCAGATACCTGCAGCCCATCCTCTGCTCGAACTCCCTGAGGTCACACCACAGCTGGAAGTCCTGCAGGAGGAAAGAAGAAGAAGAGCTTTAGAAGCATTATACTGTATGTTCGACTCACGTGTCTTTAGAGATGCTAGAGGTCATCATGAACACATTATTACAGGTAGTAGCTCGTATTGAGTTGACAGACTGATTATAAACGTGGAATGTATCTGACCTGCAGCCAGGGGTGTCCCAGGGCTTTTCCCACGCTGAACCTCCGTCTGACCGACACCTGCAGCAGGTTATTGATGAGACTCACAGCTGGAGAGAGAGAGAGAGAGAGAGAGAGAGGAGTACAGAGGATTTACTCAGATTGTCATTAAATTGGTCCACTGGAGTCACCCAGTGGCCAACAGGAGAAGACTCTGTTGGGTATGAATGCTGAAAGCTCTTCAAAGCCATTACCAACTCACACCGAGAGGTTTTTAAATGTTTCATGTGGTGTAAAAGTACATTTTTGGTGATGATTTATTTTACAGGTCCGTGGTTTCATATTCATTTTCCAGTAACCCTATAATTTGCACTAAAGTAGTGTGTTCAATTAGCACACTTTTAATTTATTAATTCCAATTAATCTGTCTACCAGAAGACCGTTAATTGTTTTAAGAATTATGGTTTAATAGAGGAAATTCTTAAAGACACTTAAAAGGGAAAATTAAAGCAAAATGGTTATTAAGGGGTAAATAAATATATAAAAGTGGAGGATTTTCAGTGTATTTTTTACAGCTATTCCAGTTTGTTATTTGATTCAAAGTTGAATCTCTATTGCAATTAATACAGTTGCCAGGTAACATCTTTTAACTCTCCTTGATAATGCATTCAATTCTGACCATGGATCTTCAAAAAGCCTTGCATTCAGAGCCGTGGTCAGAACAAACCCAGGAGGACAAGCATTAATCAAACATGAACTACATGAAAAGGTTTGGTAGTTTACATTAAAATCTCCTATCAGAGTGTCCTTGAATGCACCAACAGAAAACACAAACCACGCTTACCCTCCAGTGAGATGGAGGCCCAGGGTTGTCGTGGGTACATGAAGGCAGCGTTTGTGATCTGCTGTTTGATGTCCTCGTCCTCGTTGAAGGGGAACGTGCCGCTCAGGCTCACGTACATGATGACGCCCACGGACCACATGTCCAGAGAGCGGTTGTAGCCGCTGCTGCTGATCACCTCGGGCGCCAGGTAGGCAGGCGTGCCCACGACCGAGCGGCGGAAGGACTTCTCACCGATGATGCGGGCGAAGCCGAAGTCGCACAGCTTCACCTACGATACAGAGTGGACTTAATACGCTGTTGTGACAAATTGTCCTGAGACACACACTTACAAGAACAAAACGCCACCTGAGGGAAAGGGTCCGCAGAGGCCAGCAGTACGTTCTCAGGTTTCAGGTCACAGTGAGCGATATGTTTGAAGTGCAGATACCGCAGAGCCTCAAGGATCTGCGACACACACACACACAGAGGGCAAAAACATGAGAACGACTGGTCATACATCAATATTCCTAAACTTTATTTATGCAGGAGACAAAAAAAACATTTTAATGGATGCTTTTAATACTAATAATGATGATACATTTAATTTATAGAGCGCTTTTCAAGAAACTCAAAGACACTTCACATGAGTTAAAAAGGAAAAGAAAAAGCTAAAAACAACACACTAAGAAATTATAGCTATGTCTCCAACAGTCAACAATAATGAATTGTTAAAATCATTAAAAGCAGTTGTAAAGAGGTGGGCTTTGATCAGTGATTTGAAGTTGGATGGATCAGTACAGTCTCGGATTTGTTTGGGGAGAGAGTTCGAGAGCTTTTGGCCTCCAGGCTGAGGGATGGTCTAAAAGAGTCTGGACTAAAATGACTTTAGTGGAACACTAGTGTAAGCTTTGATTTCTTTTGTATACAATTTTTACTCATTTTTCAGATTTTCAGATGAGAACTATAAAAATGAAAATCTAAAGAGAAGGGTTAAACTGGGACAAGCAAGAACAAAAAGTGCTTTCAAATCCACTGTTACTGGTCACAACTACAGTGATGAAGATAAGAAGCATTACCTCTGGTTCCCAGACTTTGGCGGTCTGAAGTTGCATGTTTATGAGCTGTAATCAGTTTAACCAAAGAGTGATATTCCCTTCCAGATTGTTGATCATTTCAATAGTTTTTGTCCAGTAATTCATACAAACAAAAACACAATCAGAAGACAAGTTTTTTCTCCACCTTATTCACCATCTCATGACACCTCAGGTTGACCTTTTGACCCCTTGTGGGCTCCTGTTCTTCAAATTATTATCCTTTAAATAATTCCTGTACATTTACTGATCCAAAAGTGACCTTACCTGCATGACCAAGAAGCGGGTGTTGCGTTCAGGGAGTCGGCCTATCTCACTGGACAGAATCATCTCCAGCATGTCTCCATGGAGCTTCTCCATGACGACGAAGACGTGCTCCACTGTCTCGAACATCCCCTCCAACAGAACCACCCCGAGGTGGGACAGATTCTGGACACACACACCCACACAGACACACACACACACACACACACAATGTTAGAGAAAATAATCCTATAATGAATAAAAATGAATGAAAACACGTATTAGTACCTGCAAGATGGCCACTTCGTTCCTCAGCTGTCTCTCCTGTTTGGTGGGGAAGCGCGTCTTGTCGATGACTTTGATGGCGACGGGACGACCCGACTTCCTGTGAGTACCTAGAGAATGATCACTTATATAACTTTATTTAACTAGGAAAAGGGAGATTAAACATCTCTTTGCAGATCTCTAAATGGCTCATAACCAGTGTTTCAATATCTGCATCTTAAAAGTGATTTGTTGCTTTAATGCAGTTACAGTCACTCAGAAACTTTTACAGACAATTGTATTTTACAGGTCCATAATTTCATATTAATTTTCCTTAACAGGAACCCTATAATTAGCACTAAAGTAGACACAGTGTTCAATTAAGCGCATTTCTAATTAATGTGTCTACCAGGAAGCAAGCAATCCAAAACATGAAGCTGATGAATCAACAGTTCATTATTGTTTTAAAGAATTACGGTTTAAAAGAGGAAATTCTTCTTGGAATCAACAACTACTAAACACAACTAACAGAATTCTAACAAAATTAACTTAATTGTTAAATTAGTACAAAAATACATGTTTCTTTCCAGAAAACAAGGAAAGGAAAAGAGATAAGACGATACAAAACAAACAAAAATCTCAACTGGTTCTTTGATAAACATCTGACTCTGATATTGTAATAATTTAACAATGTGGTTAAACTCAATTCACCTTTGTACACCACTCCAAACTGTCCGGAGCCCAAAACCTCATCTGTGAAGATCTGATACACTGAGCTGATGTCCTGAAACACACACACACACACACACACACACACACATTAACAGTGTACAACACACTTCAGAGGTATGTTAAACGTCTCCTCACTGTATGGATTAGAAATTCAGCAGTATGAAGCGGACACTTACCACGCTGTCTCTGCGTGAATCTCTATCTGTAACACATTCATTCACACAGAAAGATCATTTAATGGATACAAATAGTTTAATTAGCACTTATTTTCCAACAAGTGAAATTATATTGATATTATATAATATATATTGTAATATATATTGTTTGTTGTTGACTACATACATTTTCACTCATTAAATTAGTTTGGATACATGTTCCACTGCCAACATTAAACTTATTAATAGAAAAACCGCTCATTAAGTTGTGCTTGGTTCCCTAAACTATAAAAAGCAACATTTTCTCATTAACATCTGGTTACGTTAATACCCAGAGGGGTTGTTTTCAGCTCACCCTGGTTCTCCTCGCTGTTTGCCCCACTGCTCTGGACGGGCATCAGAGCCTGACGGATGGCGCTCTCCCAGGCCGGCCCGTTCTCTCCGGCCACCACGCAGTACACCAGAGAGGCCGTCACCACCTCGAAGGAGTGCACGCTGTTGCCTGGCAACAAGGGCACGGAGAGCTGGGAGGGGCCTCGTACCTGCAGCACCTCAGACAGAGTGATTTCCTGCAGGAGAGAGACAGAGAGAGGGTTCTGTCATTTTCACAGAAAACCACAGGAAACTCTACAGACGTTTGTAGGTCATGAGTTCTACCTTGTAGTACTTGGTGCTGCTCTCGTTCTGGTACAGAGTGATGCTCTTCCAGTCCAAGATCCAGTAATGACGTTTCCTCTGAGAAAACAAATCATTTATTAAAAGGCAAGACGTTAATGGCTTTTTAACAAGTTAATCCCAAGGGAGCATTAGAACAGACTTGCCAACTTGCTGTCCTGTCAGTTCAATCCGCTTGCTTGATTGATTTAAAGCCTGCGTGTTAAAGTTGACTAGATGAGAGGCTATTAGTGTGTTTGTGAAAAATAGAAACTAAATGCACAACCTGCAGAGAGTAAACAAGGCTCAACCAAAACAAACAAACTTGGATAATAGGCAAAGCAGCAAAAAACTGAAGTTAGAAAAAGTTAAAGATACATGTATTTATTTTTATTTTTAGGTTAATAAAAGAAATTAAATTCATTTTAGCTTAATTTCATCTGCAGTACCTTCGGGCAGGTCACAATCACACAAAACCTTCAGACTCACCTGACATATAAACTAAACAACATAAATACAGACTCTTATACCAAATACACATGAACTGGGCATCATAACAAAACTTAAAGCTGGTGGAAAAGTGCTTTTTAGTAGAATTCTTTGTGAGTGATTAAGAGCTGAGCTGTTTTTAGCCACATTTTTAAATCTGTGTGTGCGTGTGTGTGTGTGTGAGTCTCACCAGTGTGTCAGTGTTGGTGTGATGCAGCAGCCATCCCTCTCTCAGGACTCCACCGGCTCTCCTCTTAGTGTGATGCACCGTCTGGACGAGCCTCATCAGAGGGATGTAGCTGCTGAAACACGGACTGATGGGACGGACGGAAGACAAAACAACAACAGGGACGTGAAGAAGAAGAAGAAGAAGATGGAGGGATAAAAACTGAATTAAAGTCACTGATGGAGCAGCTGTGTCCTGTGAAAGTCTCTTCCAGATGCCTCTAGGTGGCAGTATGGCCCAAAGCTCACTGACACAACCAAATTTGTGCAAATGAATTAAGAGAGGAATGACTGGAAAGATGACAACAGCTGTGAGTCGAACTTCTGACATCATCAGGACAACGTCTGTGCCACCTTTTTAAATTGGATGACATCACCTGAATAAATGAACAACCCTCTGACCTCATCGGCTCTCGCGGTTGCTCTGCGTTCTTGGTCTCGGTGATCGTGTCTCCGTCAGTGGACATCTCATCGTCAGAGATGTCTAGTGTTGTCGTACTGGTGAGCTCTGAATCATCGTCCTCTGGTTCTGGTTGGCAGCTGTTAACCACTACTGTGAACTCTGGGAACGTGACATGTGAATCACACGGCAACAATATTAGGGTAGTAATATTAGTTAGTAATATTTATCTGCACATTTAACTGAATAAATTGAATGATACAAAGCTTATATTATTGATATACACAGCAAGAAAAGAAGGAAATGTTCACATATGAGAAGCTGGAGTGAGCAAATATTTTACTTTTTTCTTGATAAATGATTTTAATTAAAAAAAAATAAAATGTATTTTCATTTTAACAGCTAAAACCTGTTAAAAAGTAGTTGTTTTAATCACCGACTCACATTTATCTCACTCACTTGTTACCAAAGATGACATAATATTAATAACAATTAATGCTTCTTAGTTGATGTTGATTGCTTTTTGTGACTTTTTCTTTTTTACAAGTCAACATGCTAACATGCTAAGGTACCATATTATTATTACCATCTTAGTTTAGCGTAAAAGCATGCTTACATTTGCTAATTAGCACTAAACACAAAGTACAGCTGAGGCTGATGGGAATGTGATTTCGGGTATTTTGCCATAAACAAAAATAAGTAAGAAGAAAAGTCACAGCAAGTATTTAACATTCACTCTTCTGGGCACCATGAAATGTATTTTTAATCTCACAAGGCTTTGATCAAATTTTCCTGAATCATCATCCCCACTTGGACAGATTTCTGGGAATCCAAAACGAGTCCTGAATCTATCAAAAAACCCTTGAGACGGAGGGTGAATCAGCTTTGACTCATCACAGGGTTATGGGAACATCAGAGCTGGGGAACAGTTACAAGCCCAGAATACAAAACCAGACCCCTCCAGGGACCGCTGCTGCTCACCTTCCCCATTGACGCCTCTCTTCTCTCCCGGACAGTCTCTGGGGACCAGCGGCTCACAGCGCCGGTGGCAGTTAAACCTGCAGTCTGACAAAATGATCAGAGAGGAGAGATGGCAGGTTGAAACTCTGAGGGTGACTTTTAAATGTGCAAAAGATTTAAAGAAATATTTGCACATCCAAGTCTCAAGTCTCTTCTGGTTCTAATGAGCGCTCTGCTGCGTCCCGTCTGCAAACACTGCATAGCTATATTTAAGGAATTCAAAGCACGCACTGTATTACCATCACTCCTTTATCGATTAACAAACAGTATCAGCTTTTTTTGGCATATCATCACTTTAAACAGGCTATTGTAATACGAAAAACACAAGTAATTAAAGCTTTCCTTTAAAGTTAAAGTTAATAACTTGTTACATGAACATACAGCGACAAGACAGACCAAATATTGGCTGAATATAATATAAAGTGGGGGCCGACAGAGGCTCAGACAGGGAGGGAACGTGATGGAAAATGCTTAAAAAAAAAAAAAAAACGTAATAAAAAAAATGTGTAATATTATAAAATCTAATGTATAACAATATAACATACCAAATCTTATTTGCCATGCCCACATTTCAAAACAATGTTTATAATGTAATATAACTTAATCTAATGTAATGAATGAATGTAATTAAATACAAATGTAATCATTATTATTGCATTAATAAAATAATAAGATAATGTTATTTGGGCGCCTTGGCATGGAACAGTTTGGGAACCCCTGGACTAAAATATAGACTATGATGACTCCAGGTGTGCTCCTGTGGTTGCTGCAGCAACCATCAGCCGGGGGCCGCGCGCAACAGCTGCGTAAAGTAACGCATGTTAGTGAAGGAGGTTAATGACGGAGGTAATGGTGTTCAGTCAGATATTTGCACTAAAAAAATATAAGTAAAGATCCAAATCTCTAGTCTCAAGTCACTGTGGAAGCGACTCCAGTCCAAGTCCTAAACAGGTCCTCTAAGGCCACCGTACAGACTGCAGGACACAGTGAACCGAATCTGATTTATTTGCTCGCATGTGACTCAGAACTGACAGTATGAACAGCACAAACAACAAGGAATCAGAACTTTTCAATTCTGATTTGGGCCATTTTCATATGGTATTTAAAAAGTTACATCTGTATAACAAACACAAAGGAAGACGAGTGGTTGAAAGCTCCAGAAAAAGCTAGAAAAAGGACTTTAATAGTTAAAAAAAATAAAATGTTATTCTATGATGCAGACGCAACAGCTAATTTGTTTACCCGAGAAATCAGTTCTTCATGGATAGTTGCTAATTTAGTTTTGTGTAAGTGTGATAAAGCAACACGTGTTAGTATCTCATTACAAATATTCAACCATTATTGGAGTGCTGATATCAATATTTGAGAATTGAAGACCAGTTGATGCTGGTAGGTGGAGGTGTTTCCTCCTTTTTCCAGACTTTATTCCAAGCTTAGCTCAACTACATATTTAGCACACAGACACAAGAGAGCAATCTGGTAATAATATGTTACAGTATATCTTATTTAATGATACATAGGCTAAAGTCCATATATACAAAAATACATATATATGAGATATGCTAGTAGACGCCATTCTATTCAGCCTGAATCCTCCCTCTCACCTGAGCACTGCAGCCCCTGTCTGAAGAGCCCTTTGAGCAGCCGGTGGCAGTACTGGCAGACGGTGGGTTTGGTGTAGCTGTGGATGTGGAAGGTGTGAGGGACCTGAGCCCTGCTCTTCTCACCGTACCCGATCCCCAGCCAGACCGGGGGCTCTGCCCAGGACGGAGGCCTGGAGGAGGGCTTGGACATGCTGATCTGGTGAGGGACAGATGGTGAGTCGTCAGTTTGCCCATATGTGTAAACATGTGATTTTAAGAGTGGTAAACCCTTCAAAAACAGGTTTCAGTGACTCGGTAGGGAAGAGAATGTAACCCAATGTCCGGTTTATTGAATACTTCCTTACCTCTTCCAGACTGCCTCCTGACTGATTGGACAGGGAGTGTGAACGGGGTCGTCGGGGAGGAAACAGGGAGAGGCTGGTGCTAACCTGCCGTCGTGCTCGACTACAGTCGTTGGGCAACTGGAAAGCGCAACGTTTATGAAAGTCTAACCCGCAACCTTGAGAGAGGGAGAGGTGGAGGAGAGACAGACTGGAGTTTTAAAAACATTTTGACTTTTCAGTGCATGAAGTGTGAGCCATATGCTGGTTAATGACACTACTGAAGTATACGATGAGGAGAGAGAGTGGCTTTACCGTCACATTTTAACCCCTGTCGAACGAGGCCCCACAGCATTTCTCCACAGTGGTGGCAGAAAGTGGGCGTCCGGTACGACTGGACCACCAGGGAGTGTGGACGGATCCTCATCTCAGTCACTGACGCTGATTCTGAGTCAGATTAAAATAAAGAGATGGGATTACGCCACTGATTTGATCCTCTTCTTTGGCTTTTTGAGTGCTACTGAGAAAGTATTTGACACCACTGCATTATATCTCCATGTTCTACGTTGTTGACCTCTGACCTGCGATGATGACCTCGATGAGGTCTCCATCCTGCAGCCTGTCCTGTTCTGTCAGGCGGTACAGCAGCGTCTCTGAGGTGGGCTGATGTCTGAACAGCAGAAACTTCTCCCCACTGCCCACCACGCTGCAGTCTGGAGCCTGAACACACAGACGCTCAGACGTTGATGCTTCATCCAAGACACAAGCTAAATTTAAAGCTTTTTGAAGTGCAAACTGAATGCCTTAGATCCACGAGCTGTGGTGAAGATAATACAAAGATTTATATGATCTCAAGACAAATAACCTGTACAGAAACATATCCAGCCTAAAGGCAGCAGGTCTTGAGCATCAAAAGAAAAATAACACAGCTGTCACTTTAAATCTTGGCGGTAAAATTTGGGACACCTGGTGCAGGGAAAGTTATTGAGACATACATGAAGGCTCTAAACCAAATCACATTTTTGGATGTCTCAGTGCTTTAAAAGATGTGTGTAACTGCTGAGTTGAAATGCTCAGTTACTGTTCCCTGGTCAGAAAGAAAGATGCATTCAACATTGAGAAAAGTTCAACATCTAGAGAGACAGAAACAGAAAGAGACTTGTGTAAAGTCAAACAATCTCTTTACAATCACAAACCATGACCTAGTTAAGCAACAAGAGCAGAAATCTGCCTTTTGTGCTCGGCAGATAAGAGACGATGATACAATCTGAAATACTGAATAGGGTGAAGAAAACCACATCTTCACTCTTGTCAGTCGTCTTCAGCCGTTGCTATATTCGTGTGTGTGCAAGGAGGTAAAATATTAAAAGTGCGCCACAATATGCAGCTTGGCTGAGAAAACGTTTGTGACGATGCCGTAAGTGTACTGCCTCTTTGCGAGGAAGGTTACGTTGGGACACGATCAGCTAGATCGGAGATTTTCTCAATAGATATGTATTTTATCGTCTCTAAATCCTCGCTGTTACTGTACATTTAATTCTTTCTAGATATAATAAAACGGTGGACAAATTAGAGAAATATAAAGCAAACTACAGACCATTACGTTAAATTCATCTCTGGCACAATTAAACAACAATTCCTAACAGTTGTACATGTGTCCACGTCTCTTCAAATCAATTAAAAATGTACTTAAAAATGAAAGTGGTCAAAAAAACGTTCTTAATTCTTAAAATGAACAAATTATTATTTTTTCTCAATGGCTAAAAACGAAGGCCCTCAAAAAAGGTTAGCTGTTCTAAATTAGAGACACTGGGTTTTCCGCCGGCAGTGACACATATACAGTATGTGACATATCTGCAGTGGCACGCTCATGCTGTCAGGTTTGTGTACAAGTGAATGCACCAAAATGTGAAACACACA